TTGAATTGACACAACGTGCGCAAGATCTCAAGGAATGTCTCCATGAGCCGCATGTTCTTCGAGGCAGCATTTGCCAAAAAGAAATCCTGGGAAGTCTGTCCTTGATCCAGGCCGGGGATGTTGACATGCTTGGATGGCTCGCCCTTATCTGGTATGAAAAGATTGGCTTTTGCATCACTCGGTCTGTACTTCGCACCAGGGGACATCAGCTGCTCGGGAAGACCCAAGACTTTATGAAGGGTAGGCCACATCGGTCGCAAGGCCATTCTAACACTATTGTGGTAATCTGTGGTGACATCGCGCTCGGAGAATATCTGGCGCAAAAGACTGGCCAGTAATTTTGCAAAAGGTTCAAATGGGACACGTTTGGCTCGGTCCAGACGAGTAATTGCTATGCATCCGAGTTTGCGAACTGTGGGCTGAATCCGATTTAAGAGGTCCGTTTTTCCAATCCCAGCGGGACCGCTGATTGTGATCACTTCACAGCGCTCGCTGCGGCGAGACTTCCCAATATTCTTCTGTTTATGCAAGGAATGGAATGATCCAGACTGACTAACAGTATGGTTTGTTGATGGTTGACTGGGAGGACCGATGGAAGGATGACTCTCTCTGTCTGTATTATGGGAAGACCGAGAATGAGATGGGCTCTTGAGAGCTGCTCTTGAGCTTTGACTATACACATCGGGGACAATTGTATGATTCGGAGTAGAAAACGACGTGTCACTACCCGGCGCAGATTCATGGGTGTTTACTTGCGCAAGACTGTGACTGGTGGCATTAGAAGACGACCGAGGAGGCAAAACAAAGGAGCCAGAATCGCTAGAGACAGAAGCAAACTCGAGGCTTTCGATGCGGCTGTCAGAGATAGACGACGCCGATGTAAGAGCGTGCATTGTACCAGGACTTTGAGTTCCAGCTTTGGCCAAGGCAGCCGCCTGGCGCCTATTGACCTTTTCGATGACACTGAGGATCTTGTCATATTCTTCTTGCCGCCCGAACATTTGCGTTGGGAGAGTGAAAAAGGAAGAAACGTCTCCTTGCGCGACTTGGAAATTGCTCAATGCTTCACTGTCACCATCACCAAGCAATTTCACAATATGGGTCAAATCTCTCTTCACAGATGAAATTGTGTGGTAGCGATCATGAACCACCTTTTGTGTCATTTTTTGGATCACAGCCGAGAGAGCATCCGGAATATCCATTCGCTTCCCAGATACTGGCACCAATCTCTTGCCTAGTACATTCTGTACGACTTCGACGGGGTCGGTTCCTTCAAATGGTAGCTTTCCCACCAGCATGGACCAGAAGAAGAGGCCCAACGCATAAATATCAGTGCGACTATCCGGCTCTGTGGGCATCCTTCCGGTCTGCTCTGGGGCAATAAATTGCAGCTTGTACTTGGCTCCAAGCTCACGCGAAACGGAGGACCAGCCCTCGCTGAGAACGTTATCAAAAGATCTAGCACCGTTGCCGGTGTTTGCGAGCTTCACCGCACCAGTCTCTGCGCTAAAATGAAATGCATCACCTCTGATTTCGCCGTGCACTGTCTTCAGACCATAGTGTAGAATCTCCAGGCAATCGCATGCCCCGATTGCAAAATCAAAGAATGCTTGTAAGGAGACCTGCTCGCTGGGGGTGGCATTGTTGTCTTCACCTCTGGACCCTGCCACAAATGAGGCGGGACCAAATGTGACCAAATCTCGCAATCTATCATGGCCGGGAGACTCAAAGATCGCAACCAGCAGCGTCTTCGACTGCCCATCATCTGGCTGTAATCTGATCAAGTCGACTGGTCGTATTGTATGATTGCAATCCGGATCTGACGATTGTACAATTGATCTGAGCATGTGAAACTCTCGTTCGAGGCGGATAATGTTGGTGGAAATTCGCGCGATGACCGGTATCCATGTTTGCTCTGTTTCCAGGCTATGTTGGTTGGAAAATGAGATGTCACTACTGGTTTCGCTGGCGCTCAATCTTCGCAAGGCACGGGCGGATGGCCTGATTTCCGTGCGCGGGGAAAAGCGCGTGAGGCTCGACGGTCCGGAGGAGGCGGGATTGGAGGAATTTGCGAGAGGAGTTAAAACATCTGGCTCTAAGGCATGACGGTATCCTGAGATATGCCAGTGGTTGTATGTTGAGTGAAACGGTTCGACCGCCTGATCCCAGGTATAACCAGGTAACTGGCCTAATCGTTCGAAAAGTCGGGCCGGTGGAAGCGGCAGGTCTTCGCCAAAAAGAGTACTCTCCTCCATGTCTCAAGTTATGTGGTCGTGTCTGCCCAAGTTACTACCAAGCACATATCCCAGTGCGATGGGTCGAATTCAGCGGGGGGATGAGGATAGGACGATGGGAGGGGCGGATATGAAAGATGCAAGTAGCATCCACAAGATAGATTATCAGTAAAATGTACAGTGAACAGGTACAGAAGTGTCGCCTTTAGGCGTGTAAAGTGAAGACATCAACAAAAGACCTGAAACAAACCAGGGTAGCTTTAGAATTGAAGATCGTAAGAATTCTGGTTGCCTGAGGTTATTAACTTAGTCATCTTTCAGACCGGATTGGGACATCTGATTGGTTTTCCTTTAATATCAACGTTAATATGATTGCAATACTATTATTTTGGGGGAAATATTATTCTTAGGCTGACATCATTAAGAAACGGGCTATATTTTCTTTTTCTTCAAATGTATGCGGCTCAACTTATAATAGAAAGCTAGAAGCGGCCCGGATGGACGCCGTTTTAGCTCCTAGTAGAAGTGTACATATCACAAGCCGAATATAATCCTGAGTTTACAACCTACATGTCTAGGTTAAATCTTGATCGAGACCAGCCAAATTTAGCACTCAGATCCTCGGGATTTTTTAGACCCATTGCATATCAAGCACAACTATGAACTTCACTACACAGCCCGGATACTCAATGCTATCTGATAATCAGATCAACATAAGATCAATGGAAATAATTGGTCCGAATACATTGAAGTGACTTCGAATTAGGGCTTGTGGGGTAAGTATGCTCCACGTCGGGACCTCGGCACTGACGCCACTCAGGTACTAAATCCGGTTTACCATCTTGAACCTGGAAGATTTCGAGGTCTTTAGATCCTCTTCTTCTCACCTCCATTCTCCTTATTTTACAGGAGTAAAGTTTCTCCCTTCGCATCATGTCGCTTAGGGAACCTCTCGGCCTCTTGAAGGCGATGCTGGCCCGCATCCCGTTGATCCTCAAGACCATCCTCCTGCATGGCATTCAAATGTCCCCCGTCAAGGGGAAACAGGATATGCGCACCGAATTAACCGTCGCCATTATTCGTTCATTCATGGCAACAAAAGCTCCACTCGGTAAAATCCAAAAACAAGGCATACGCGACCCTGGAGTCAAGGGCCCCATGTGGGTGTCCAAGGTGACCCTCCCGCAGCCCGAGATCGACGTGCGCGATGCAGTACTACGCGCAATCGAAGATCTCAAGACCGGCGATGAGACATACGATATACCCGCGACCACCGCCGTCGAAGCTGAATGGACCGGTTACCGCGCTGGAGTTGGAAAGAAAACACTAGAGCCCGATCTCACGGAAGAGGAGAAATACCACAAGCTGCGCGAGGAATCGCCGTCTGATATGACGATCTTGTATTTCCACGGCGGTGCCTATTTGTGAGTTATCACTCAATCCTCTAACAAATGCACATATCTAACGCATCCAAACCAAAAAAACAGCCTTCTAGATCCCTGCAGCCACCGCGTCCCCGTCGCACACCTGTCACATTTAACCGGCGCCCCCGTCTTCTCCGTCCGATATCGCCTCGCTCCGCAAAACCCCTTCCCAGCCGCACTAGTCGACGCCTTAACAGCATACCTCTCCCTCCTCCACCCGCCTCCAGGCTCCCTCCACAAACCCATACCAGCAAACAAGATCGTATTCGCAGGCGATTCCGCCGGCGGAAACCTCTCACTAGTCCTCCTTCAAACACTCCTTACCCTCGGCCGCGCATCCCACACAATCCGCTTCCACGGCAAAGATGTGCCAATCGAACTACCCGCAGGCGTCGCAACCATCTCCCCATGGTGCGACGTAACGCGCTCCATGCCATCTACCAGCGGCAATGCACACCTCGATTACCTCGAGGCACCAGCTACGCCCTCCAACGACCCAGATGTTAGGACTCCATTCACCCCGCTCCCTTTCAGGCCTGACGATATCTGGCCCACATCTCCGCCTCGCGCGGACGTCTACTGTAACGCCAGCATGCTGAGCCACCCATTGGTATCTCCGCTCGCTGCCCCGGTTTCTCTGTGGAAGAACGCGCCGCCTATCTGGATCTCGACTGGCGAGGAAGGTCTCACAGATGAAGGCCTCATTCTAGCGCGCCGCGTCTACCAGGCCGGTGTGCCCCTCGTTGCGGAAATGTTCGAGGGTATGCCGCACTGTCACGGTATACTTATGATGGACAGGCCGTCTAGCCATCGTTTCTTCGAGAGCTTTGCTGGGTTCTGTCGGGATGCTGTTGCTGGTCGGGTCCTGTCGACGGGAAATCTCACCTGGTTGGGCTTCAAGTTGCAGTTGACAAAGGAGATCCCGATTGAAAAGGCATGTGAGACAAGTGATGAGGAGGTCGAGGCCCTCATGGAGAGAATGTCTGCTTGGAAGCGGGAGGGAGAGATCGAATTGCAGAAGCAGTGGCGTGCGACAGCGCGGTTGTGAGTTACTTAAGCTTTTCTCTCCTTATTTCGCATTTTCATACCCTATTTATATTTTTAATGATTCTCACGATGAACGAACGGTGTACGTGATGTACTAGTAGCCCGGCGGGGCCTAGCCATACGTGTACTTAATACTCATTGGGCGTTTATATGGCTATGTATATAGAAGACTTTAAATGCTCAATTACTTTCTTGGAGAAACAATCTCTGTAGCAAGGAATTGCTGCCCGGGATTGCATTAGATACTAGCTCAAAGCAGAGAAAGCAAATGTGGGAATTTGAAGATCCCTGGGAACTAAAGATATTCATCATTGTCCATTACATCCTCCCCTGACGGCTGTTTATTGTCCCACATCTGCGGGGGAGGATTCCGGGCGGACCAGACAGGCTGCACTGGTTGCACAGGCTGCTGTGTATAGTGGGCCTGCTGTGTTTGAGTCACAATATGTTCAGGTGTAGGAGTTGACAGCCAAGGGAACGCAACGGGCGTTCCGTTGATGCGGATTTCGCCAATGAAATTTCCAAGCTCTGGCGTATCATCCACGTAGCCATCCGAAAGACCCATCAACTGCGCCACGAGACGAGAGAAAGCAACACAGATAGCGAAAATGGGCGTGAAAATTGTAGACAGATGTGACCAGCGCCACAACATTGTGATGGTTACCCAGGGGTATAGAGGCGCATCGGGCTGCAGGCAGTAGCCTTCGCAGCTTTCGGATATCTCGGGATGACTATACTGGTCCCACATCAGACATTCGATGATATACCACGAAAGTGAGATGATGATGAACCAGCCGAGTTTGGTGGGCCGAAGACGTTGAGATCGCGGGCTCCGCGTCCACAGCCGAGGAAGAGGTATCGCGGCGTATACTCGTCCACCAGAGTGCGTGTCACAGCCTTTGCAGGATTCGGCTGTGTGCAAGTGTGATGCCTTTGGGCTCTTCTTCTTTAGAGAGCTTACCTGCGATACAATTGCGGTGTCTTGCTTGACATGACCTTCCAGGTCGTCAAGCCCTTTCTTCACTTCTTCGATATGTCTCGTTAGAGAGTTGAGCTTGACGTTCAATGAGTCCAAGTTGACCACGTCATTTCCTTTTGAACTAGCATTTTGGAGCTGGGCGAGGACGGCCTTTTCATAAACCTCGTCATCTTCCTCGATTTTGGGTTCACCTGGGGCATCCATAAATGCTTGAAGGGACTCGATGGTATCATCTCCGAACTCAAGGTCTTTGCCGGAACTGGCATCCTCAATGACCGTCTCCAAGGCACTTTTAGGTAGATGAGGTCGCTGCAACGGGGGCCTTGACTGCTTCCCAGGGTGTGGTTCAGGAAGAAGCTCTTTCTCGGTAGTCTGTGCAGGTTTCGGTTCCTCGGCTTTCGATTTGACATCCGTGGGTTTCGTAGGGGGTGCAATATCCTTGGACTCATTTGTTGTGCGTGGAGGAAGGAGGTCTTTTGTCAGATCTTCGGGAAGCTCAACCTTGTCACCCACCCGCTGGGTCATAGGAGTATCAATCCACGCGCCAGTTACCCGAGGGGTTTTGTCGTAGATTTTGTTTTCGAAAAGTTTGAGTGGCTCGGGGGTTTGGACCTGATCAATTTTGGGATTTTCAGTCCTGGAAAGTTTGCGTAGTAGATCCCTGGAGTCGCGCTTGCTGGGGCTGGGTCTCGCGAATGACGAGTTTTTGAACACTGTGATAGGGGAATTGGGGATTGGCTCGCCGCCACTAGTTGGAGGCGAGGTCAGCTTGGAACCAGAACGCGTTTCCCCAAAGTCCTCATGCGTCATTTGCATATAAGGATTGGCAGTGCGTTCTTCAAGAGCGCTTCTAGCAGAAAGTGTGCTCCGCGCCGGAGAACGAGGAGAGGTACGCATAGCCCTAGGGGCTTGGGCTTCTTCCGTGATAGCTGGCGACCAGCGTCGACGCGCTTTTTCCTCCTCTTCTTCTTCAGAGATACTGCGCTGGCTGGGTTTTCTCTCCCATTCTTGCCGGTGACCTGCCCGATGACCCCAACCAGTGGGTATATTCGGCGAAGGAACACCGTTCCTGTCAGCCTCTGGCGCACGATAATCCGCCTCGGTCTTGTCTTCCATTCGTCTTCTCAAATTATCTGCCGTCAAGGCATCCCGTCCGGCCTGAGCCCTGCTGAAGACCGGCGAGCGTTGGCCCGTGACGCGCTTTAGGCGCTCTTCATCTTTAGTATAATCCCTGCTCTTGCGGGCCCGATGGTCGCCAAGATCATCGCCAAAACCTGCGTCGGAGAAGGGTCGTCCATTAGCAGATGCTCTGCCGTTATTTGTGTCCTTTGCTCGGGAGGACGGGAGGCGACTTCGGCTTCCAGAGCGTGTGGTGAACTGCGGCTCCCAGTCATAGTCGCGCACGAGATCAGCTAGAGCGTCATCTTCGTCAATTCGCCTATATGCATCTTCGAGTTCTTTGGGAGGAGGAGAAGTCTGGGATATTGGCGAGAATGCGTTGATCGGCTGCCGCTTCGATCGCGGGCTTGGTGATGTCACAAAGTGGGATTCTTCGTCGTATGTGGTGATCATTGCGTGTCTTGATGCGTCTCGGTACGCATCAGCTAGAGACCTTGGACGAATAGCGTGTCGTGGGTGCGGACCATCGTCTTGAGGGGGTGATGGGAGCTTTGCGGGTATATCGTAATGGTCGAATTTCGAGGCGCGTCGGAAAGGTGACGGCTGTCTATCTCGCGACGCTCGATTGTTTTTATCGAATGACATGACCGAAATACCCCTTGCAACCTGCAGAGGGTTCACATGTAGGAAAGGTAGCGAAGAAAGGGGAACGCGGTTCTGCGACGTGAAGAAAGGACGGAGGTAAATACTACGCTCCTCATTCCCCAATGTGGTTAGCCCGTCTGAATTCCTTCCGCATTACGTCGACTCCTTCAACCACAATTTATCTTCTTGACTTGTCTTTTACTACTCCTACTTGCTCTTAAGACATTATCAGGAAAGCATTTACAACCTTGAGATGCTCAAATGATCCTTACCTTATCTTGACATGTGACACCTACACTCGCTCTGTCCTCGAAAGCTTCAATAAAAGCAACAGACTCGCATTCTAAACCCTTGGAAAAGCTTCGACTCGGATCATATCCAACACTTCAGTGGAATAAAAATCTACAAACCACCCGGTATGGCAAAATCATCACGGCGCTCAGGTCGCGGCAAGACGCCAACGTCATCCGGAGCCTCAACACCTAGCTCCGCATCCTCAGGTCCGATCCCACCATTCACCAAAGTCCCAGAAATATTGCACCCCTTCGTTGAACCACTCTCCCCCGACGAAGTATACCTAGTCCACATCGACACAACCGCAGAGGAACTGAAGCGGCAAACCTTCACCGTACCCCTCATCGTCAACCTGGTAGTAGCTGCTGTGATTGGCCTACGGGTGTACATGGGAATCAGTACATATCCAGGACTCGTGGCAACACTAATCGGGCTCCAAAGTTCCATGACTGTGGACACGGCAGCAACCCCGTGGACACAATCAATAGAGATCATCCTGCGCCGGACTGGAACGATATGCCTCGACTACTTTCTCGTGACGCTCCTCTGGTCATGGCCTGTTAATTTCATCCGAGGGCCCGTGCGCTGGCGTCGTGCCGTCGGTTTCCGCGAGGCAGAGATCATCGTCCGCCGCAGTAACCGCAGTTGGAGCAAGGATCTCGAGCGCAATAAGTGGATCCGCGAAGACGAGGCGCGTCGCGATAAGATCGTCGCCGCTGTAACTCCGGAGCGAATCGGCAAGACCGGTTACTTGCTCGTGGACGAGGATTGGAATTTAGACTATGCGGCTATGGTTCGCGCTCATGCTCTTGTTGATCGTACTCGCAGAGGCGATGGTGTACAGATGGGTGAATTCCGCACTGCCGTGCTGGTTAACACCGATGCGGATGGTTGGCTGATCTGGCGTGTCGGGGATGACAACACTTCCGCTGGCGAAGTACAATCCGTTCAGCGCGACCAAATTCTCGCCTTCAAGGAGAAGTTGGCTGAGATGGGTAAGGAGGATCTCTTCCTCCGTTGGGTCGAGCTAATTCAATGGGAGAGCTCGCAGCCTGGTGGGTTCACTGCGGAACGGCAACGGTCTGCGATGCTGCAAGCGAAGCAGATGTTTGAAGCAGAAAACGTGGATTTCAGTCAATTCTGGGACGACATGGGCGGCATGAAAGGCGAAGGATTAGACTAGTGATTTATTGTTTCATGATCATGATCACATCTCTCTTAGATTTCACTCAACCTCGGCTTATCGCCATGTAAATTGCTCTCTACCTGATAGTGTTTTGACGTCTGTTTCATGAAGCTCGACCCGCACATTATGCCCTACACTACATCAAGTAGATCGATATATTCAAGTGTAGATTGCATTGTTGGGTATCTGGACTAAATCACTGTCAAAAGCAAATGGGACATGTATCGATCCCCGAATGGCGCGTAATCCGCGCTGCAAGCACTGAGGAGACAAACCAAAAAAGATGAAATGAACAATGCAACGCCCTAGTACGCCAGAGCTTGTAAAAAAAAAAAAAAGCAAAGAAACTAGTCTATGATGCGCCACCCTCGAGCCGATAGTCAAGAGACCACAATTTCTCCCATGGGCGAGACCGGCCATTCTGTCGACGATCAGACGTCGACCGAGCGGGAGAAGAAGCGCTGGTACTTATGTTTGGTTGAGCCGATGCAGAGAGGTGATCCTAAGCCAAAGAAAACCATTAGTAACCAGTACCAAATGATATGAAAACAGACCCGGAAAAGACGGAAGATAAACAAGTCAATCCCTACTTTTCACGGGCCGGAGAGCAGGTCACGGCGAACCTCGTCGAAGATCGGAGCAGTCTCTCGAGGCTGCGAGCCAGCATCAGCTTCGGCGGGGCGCACAAGATCAGTCGTTGATTCGACAGCGTGCTGCGATGGCGTCGGGGTGCCACGCTTGGAATTCGCGCTCTCGCGACGGCTATCAAGACTCCTGGATAGGGTTTTGGCAATGGCGCCCTCGTCCGTACCACGTTTGAGGCGGATACTACCCTTGGCATCGACGTGCGCCGATGCAACAGTGCTCTTCGCTATGCCCGGTGTAGCAGGCGCACCGGGCTTCTCTTCTACGGCATCGAGGAGATACCAACGGAGACCATCTGAAAGCTCGAATGGATTCTCGTCGTCTAGAGAGGCACCGTCGCTGGCGTCCCCGATGGAGCGACGGTCTGATGCGACGCCGTTCATTGATTTGGATAGATCTACAACCCGTTCCTCGATCTTGGTGATGCGGGCGAGAAGCCAGTCTCGAGCTTGTAGTTTGTGTGAATCTTGCTCGCGGAGGAAATAGTGTGGTGCGCCCACGTTGAAGGCGGCCCAAGAGCGAATGGCCTGATTCCGAGTAGGGAGAAAGAGAGCAAGGTCGCCTTCTTTGAAGGATCTGTAGGCAATCTTGTCATGAGCTTCGCTTTGAACTCGATGGTATTTTTCACGATAGCCTCGAGCTTCCTTTTGCCATTTGCGGGCCAGGAGTTCGATGTCCTTGACGCGTTTGACAACAACATCACCAAATAAGGACACGTCAAACTGAGCTAGACTTTGCATGAAAGCCGAGAATTTGGTCTCTTCATCCTCCAGGCTTTCAGCTTTCATCCAGTCCAGAAGCGCTGTATCCGGCTTTAGGGATACAATACCTGACTGGGCGAGGCTTTCACCCAGGCCCAGCGAAGCACTGAGCTTCGAAGCACGCTGGACAAGGAGCTGGCCGTCTTGCTGAATGATGGTGAAACCCAATTGTTCGAGCATCCGACCCAGCTTCTCAACCTGTCCAAAGAGTTGGGTTGAAAGCTCAAGGGACTTGTTACCCCGAGCTTCGAACCGCGCCACAGCCTGCTCCTCGGTCTGCGAAGTGGCCCCTGCCTTTCTCTCCCATTCCGCGGCCTGATCTTTCAAATCTCGAGCTTGACTCTCGGCTTCAGCCAGTTGCCGTGACAGCTCTGCCTGTTTCCGTTCCTCTTCGGCGATCTGTTCACGCAGCGCGTCGGAGCCGCTTTCTCCGGCAGTCATTTGAGAGTGCAAGGAACTGAACTTAGATCGCTCTCTACCCAGTTCACCGGTCAGTTCCTCCGACTTTGATCGCTCGCGTGAGAGTTCTGCAGTTAATTGCGACAATTCGGCCTCGCATTCGTCGAACTTCTTTGTCCGCTCTTCTGCCTCCGCCTCGAATTTCACAATTTGTTCTTCAAGTGCCTTTTTCTCCTCCATTGTTTGAGATGCATTCGATTCCGCGCTCTTCGCGTGGATCGACAGGCCTTCAGAAAGAACCTCAATGGCTTTGATTATGTCGGGAAGTTCGACAGGTACAATGCCTCCGGGTGAGAGGTTCATGAAGATAGCTTGGAGATCTTGATAACTCTCCTGGTGCTTTTGCTCGAACTCCGCTTGTCGGTGCTCGAGATCATCAATCATAGCCTGGAGGCTTTCTTCTCGCCCTTGTCCACTCTGAATCTCCGTATTAAGATCAATAATTTTCTGTGCGTCTTCGGCAGAATTAGCCTGGGCATTTTGAAGGTCGAGTTCGAGCTGGTGCATCCGTTCGTCAATATCTTGTCTTCCATGCTCCCTGCTATCCATAAGTCGATCAAGCTCTTCTTCCATTTCCTCGGTACGCAGTCTAAACTTCTTTAGCTCCGAGTCCAGATATCGGCGCTCATCTTCGAATTCACGTTGGCGCGCTTCAAGGTTGCCTATGAGGTCCTTTTTGGTGGACTGAGCTTCTTGGAACTTGTCGGAATGGGTTTGCCGCTCGGCGTGGGCTTCCTTATGGAGTCGCTGGACCACATCTCTCTCGGCCGCCAGCTCTGCTTCAAGCGTAACAATACGCTGAATGAGTGCTTTGTCTTCAGGGGACTGAGTCGCTGAGACTCGCCTCGAAGAAACGGATGAGCGTCTAGATAGTGCATCAGGGTGTGGAGATGAAGGTGAACCGGGGAAGTCTGGGCCGAAATTGGCGCTCGATGGCCGGCTGAGGTGACTTTGACGATGCAAAAGATCTTCCAGTTTCCGGACACGACTATCTGATCCCTTGAGCCTTTCTTCTAGCTTTGTCTTTTCTTCTTGTAAGCTACGGACGGAGTCATCGGCGCGTAAGATAGAGCTCCGGCTCAAGTCAAATACGCTTCCTTGTTTGAACGCTTTCGCCCGCCGTCTTTGCTGCCGAGTGGGTGCATCCAGCTCCTTGAGTTGCTGGGTGAGCTCTTCCGCTAGGTTGGTCAAGGAATGTGTGGTCTTTAAATCGTCGATGTAATACTCGATTTCTTTCCGAGCTACTTCAGGCCATTCGTCATCCTGACCTTGAAGGTTGACTTCGATTCCTGGTGGGGTGGAATCAGTCACAGTCATAAAGTCTCCCATATTTTTTAGCCACTTTTTTCTGCGGCGTTGTTCCTCATCTCTCAAAATCGCCATCTCCTCGGCTAGCGTCAGGGAGTCGGTCTTGATCTTATCACTCCATTCTCGCCGCCGCACGGATTCGATAAGAATCGACCCATATACCATTGGCATTTGGAAGACAGAGTAGATGACTTCAAAGGCATTACTCCCCACGTCCAGATTGACCATTCGTGCATGGGCGTCGGCAAGTCTAGACTCAAGGGAGGAAATCGTGCGCATATGATCAATGGCCGTTTTCTCCACGGCCCCCCGTCGCTGCACAGCTTGCTCCAGCGCAACTTGAAGCT